AACTATGTTCTCCTCTATATAGTGTTGCACGTTGAAGACCAGTTCTATCTTCTTCTCCCATTCTAAGTAAGCATCCGAATCACACTTGCTGTGGAAAGAGGAAATTTTCAACTTAAGCCTGGCTAAGTTGTCTTGTAAACGTTCCCTGCCTTGTCTAGAGCTTCTCCGGCCACTCCTAGAAGAGCCACTGCCCTTGTAGTACTGATCCGTGTGATGTCCGCCGGTATGATCCTCTTGCTCTCCTTCTCTTGTGGTTTCTTTGCCCGGACGTCTCTGGACCGATTCCCTTTGTTCATAGTACTGCCTGATCTTCTCCACTTCTGACTGTAACATGTTTTTCATCTCGGATGTGAGAGCCTCGTGTAACAACCTCTGATCTCTCCCAACTGAATTTTCCAGGTCATCACCTCCGGCCATGATACCCGAAAGATGATGAACAACTGGCAGTAAGTAATTCTTTGGTAGATTAGAATTAATAAAAATTCTAAACTATTTTGAAAAATAAATCGTGATGTGCAAAAAATCAAATCCGTGATGAACAAGAATTTTAAAATTCTGAAAAGGCTTTATAATGGAATAGATCAACAAAACACAACTCTCAAACTTGTTTTCAACCGATGATATAATGTCAAATAACAACTCTAGCACCCTATTAGTTGTGTAAAATAAATCAAACAAAGCCGTGGTTGAAAGTAGACGAAGAGACAAAATACGAATCGACAAAATTAAGAAATGATCGGATCAAAATACTTAGTTTTGGAAGGTTTGTTCTGATACCACGTAATATGATTCTCTCAAGAATCGGCACTCTAGAGTTGGTAAGGGGATAAGTTTTGCATCAAATAAACCGTGAAGTCTCAAAGATCAAAGGATGTGGATCAAATGGTCAAACAGAAGCTACGGAAGACTCCTGATTTATCTCTCAATACTCTCAGATATTACACACTAAAAGCATTGAGTATTTCTTTGGATATTACACACCAAAGAGATGAATCTAACTTGAAAGAATTTTTGACAAAAAAAAAATAGATTGATTTTATTAATAGATAAGAGCCTCTATTTATAGAGGAAATACAACAAATTCTTTCATAATAGTTGCTAAACATGCAGAGCATCTAGAGAGATGAAATCTAAACTCTAAAGTGCATGTAAGAGAGACAAATTGACATAATTAAATGCAGTTTTTGCTATGGACGAAAATTGATCTTTTTGGTTGTTTTTGGGCTGAATCCACTTTGCTGGGCTTTTCTGATGGATCAAGATTGTAGAATGAGTCGGTTTGTAGCATAGTTCATTCTGGCCTGGTCGGAATTCTTCATTTAATGCGCGCAGGTCTAAATCCGGTACACTGGAGATGACTTGATTTGAAAATTGAATAACTCCTTCATCCGAACTCCATTCGATTTGATTCTTCTTCGAGGAGTTCCGTGATTGAGCTGAGCACATTATCCAAGTGGTCTCATGCATTGAATCGTCATGGTTCAGCAGTTACTCTTCAAAAAATGCACACATGTCTTGATGCTTTCCATGATCATATCAAGTATAAAAGAGATGTTATCTTAAAATGTCCTTGAAGGATATTACATTTAAGCATTTGTAAAGAAAATGCTAACTGGTCTTGAAATATCTTATATAAGCAATATAAGTGGGCTGATGTATCTTGTAAATTATATTTGACCAATATAGCTTTTGCTAGTAATATAGATATTCCGTTATCTCAAAGTTATAAATTGTTTTTTCTATTTATTTTACTAAAAAAACCTCGAGTTTGATATTGTTGGTTTTCCAGATGCTGGCTATATCGGATTTACATAAAACTTGATCAAACCGACTGTATTTTCATAATGGGAGCATCTAGAGAATATGCGTAGCTGAGATTAATAACTAATCACATCTAAGAGTCAAGTGGAATAGTTATCAACAAAGAGCCAACAAAAATATTTGAAGATAATGCAACAAACTTTATTCAACTCAAAGAAGGCTATATCAAGAGCGACAGAACAAAGCTTATACATCCAAGATCTTTTTTCTTACACCCAAGAGCTCGAGAAGAATCAAGAAGTGGATATTCAACATGTTCGCTTAAGTGACAACATAGCTGATCTCTTCATAAGGCTGCTTCCGACTACAATATTCAAGAAACTTGTTCATAGTATTGAAATAAGAAATCTTCAAAATCTATGAAAAGAAGATGATATCTATCATTTTCAGAGGGAGCTTGCTTGTACTTGTTTTCCCTTTATCATGGTTTTTATCACATTAAATTTTTCCATGTAAAAATTTTTAACGAGGTAATATACAACAATCAGATGGTGATCGAATACTAAAGTGGAACTGTTAAATAATATGATTATCATCACATAAATAAATAAGTGTCACTATATTATCATGTTAAGTTATTACTCATTCCTTTAAATCAAGAGTCATCACCTATGTATCATTATGTTGATTGTCACTTGTTCACTATAAATAAGTGATTAAAATTTTTAAGAGAAAAAGAAGTGAGTTGAATGAATAATAAAAAAATATGAATAATTCTCTCTAAATCACATCTCTATCTTCACTTTTTCTTCTTTGTTATATTATATTATTTCACAACAAAAAGTTGTTTTACTTTGCTTATGTTCCTATTCCTTAACCCAGTCTCATACTAGAGCCTGACTTTTGCAATTTGCAAACCTAACAACCTCTTGTAGACTTTGATACATGTCATTAATTACAAATCTTGTCATTACAGGTTTTTCAAATTAACAACATAATCGAAGGAAATTGTTTTTTTTTTTAAGTTCAAAAAAAGTTTTAATCTAGTTATGAGAACCAGATTGTCTCCAAAATTTTTTGCTGACAGTTTGTTGCTAATAATCCAAAATCAAAAATACCAACAAATATCAAAAAAAAAAATCTTATAACCAAGAAATCTTCGGAAGAATCTACCACATCTGCAACGCTAAAGAACACTAAAATGGAACCTAAGTAATAGGCTTCTCTTGTAGAATAAATACATTTATCAAATTAAATCTTTATGAGAACCATATTGTCTCCAAAATAAGTAATCTAAATTTGAGAAATGCCGATAATATAGAAAAAAAATCTCATAACCAAAACATTCAGTTCTATAGGTACATATCATCATAATTCGTTTTCTTGTTATAAAAAACAAATTTCTAAATTTTAATTAATTTCAATTTTGTTTTGTTGTTATTAGGAAAATTTCAAAATTTTAAGTTAGTTATTAATAAAAAAGAGTTTATAAAGTAGATCTTAGTTTTTTTTATTAACAATAAAAAATAAATTAACATATAAATATCTTTAACAAACAATAAAAATTAACATATAAATAGATTATTAAAGAAAATCATATATATTGAAGAAAATAAATAAAAAACCTATTTAAGACCATAATTAAACTATTTCAAAATTTTAATCATGACAAACAATAAAAATCTGAACTGATTTCCTAAAATATACTAGTTGTGATCCATGTTGATGTTTTAAGCCAATGAAAGCGTCCACGTATGACGTAAAAACTCAATCTGATTGGTCCACATCAGCATTTATCATTAAACATAAAAATATTAAATAAGATTACTAATTTAAATAAATTAAACCATGCAAAAAATATAAAATTATCATAGTAAATTAGAAAATAAAATAATAAGGCTAACTAAAAAAATAGATGAAATAAAATTATGTCAAAAATCCAAATCTATAATGCTTGTCCAGATAAAATAGAAACGTATTGTCACAAAAATTAAACTAACAAAAACAAATATGTAAATCTATAACAAAAAAATTTAATTAAAAAAATTAACATATACATTTTAAATGAATAATTTATTTAGAACAAAAAATTAAGATTAAATTATTATTTAAAACTATCAATACTACCAAAAATAATTCATGTTAAATTAACAGAAGAAAAAATCATATAAATCTTGATATTTAGCTAATTATTTAGAAAATCTACACAAAAAGCTGAACTAACCAAAAAAGTTTAAATAACAAAAAACCAAGCGTAAATTACTTTTTCAACATGTCAATACAATTAAAATAAAAATTCATATCGAAAAAGTCAAATTAGCAAAAAAAGCGGATATTAATTTGATATATATGCTATTTTTATTTAATAAAATCAATATAAACAAAATAAGTAAGAAAATAAAAAAAACCTATGTAATACTAAAAACCTTTACTAACAAAAAGAAGATAAATATTTAAGTTTGATTTAGAAATTTGTATAACCTACTGTAAATTTATATGGTTATTCATAGTTCATACCAATATTTTAAAAATCATTATTTTTCTAGAATTAAATTTCAAACTAATTTTCTTCTTAGATTTTATTTTGTTATTTTACATATCTTTGGATAGTAATTTTATATTTTATTTTAATTTATCTAATTTTATGCATGTTTATTATATTTAAAATATATATATTTTTTAATTTTTTTTGTTATTGGTTTTCCAAATAGATAGTATATATCAATTGGGACAATTTTAAAACTACAATTTTCACGCTACCATTCTTTAAATTTACTACTAGAAGGTGAATATTTTCGGAAAAAAGGTCAAAATCAACCTCAACAATTTTTATCGTGCCTTTTTATACATCAACTAGTTGTTAGTGCATTTTGCTACCCCAACTCATATGAGAATTCAAATTAACAACCCAAATTATCAGTTTAGTGTAAATAGTGGTGTTGACTGTTACTTTGGTTAGTCGTCCGTTAACAATTGATGAATCAGCAATCTATGTGTAATTGATTTAACAAGGTGGCATTAACAAATAACTAAATTTATCTGTTTGCATTAAAACGGTGCCGTTTTCATTTGGGATTTAGGGATTTCATCTTCTTCTTTTTATTCTCGGGACCCCGTGTTCTTCGCTTTTCATCCTACAAAAACACAGATTTTCGATTTCTCAAACATAAGTCAATGATGAATGATTAGTGTAATTCAAGGAGAATCGAGAGTGTTAGTCAGGTTTTTCAGAGTTCAAAATGAGGTAATTTCTCAGTTTTTATGTTCATTCAAATTCTTTGATTAAGCATAATAGAATTGTTTGATTAATGTGGAATTGTTTGATGAATGTAGAATTGTTTGATTAATATTATCGAATTATATCTTTATTGTTTTCGTTTTTTTTTAATCTTATAGTATTGAAATTTGGATATCAAATCAATTTGCGAACATAGAATATATTTTTTGTTGAACACCAACTGTTTGATTAAATGTCTGAAAGAGTCTAATAATGTAATTTTTTTGTCTTTTACAGCAATTCAGATCACGTTATGTTCAGTGTGAATCATGGTGGCTACTGGGTAAAAAATCATGTGGGAGATGTTGGGTATATTAGTGGCGAAGTGGTTACTTTTGAGTGTAACCCAGAAGATTTCTTCTCGGCATTGCAAAATGAGTTGAGCGATGGTGAGGGATTTTATGGCCACTATATGTGGTACAAGCTGCCGTTTGAAGATAATAAGGAGCGCAAGAGATTGATTGGTGGTGATTCTAAATTTCAAAGGATGTGTGAAGCAGGTAAATGGACAAAAGTAGTCAATGTGTTTGTGGTAAACTCAACAGAGTATCCTGAAGATGTAGTAGAATCTGCGCCATATGAAGAAGAGGTCCGAGTAGAAAGAAACGTGGCTGATTTTATTGATGAAGATGAAGATTTTGACTATCATAATACACCTCCTAATTCTGATGGTGAAGAAGAGGAGAATTTGGTGAGATGCAAGAGAGGAAGTGGTGAGCTGAAGCTGCGCCAAGTGTTTGACCTCTTAGAAGATTTTAAAGAGGCTTTGGTTGATTATTCACTCAAGGGAGGATGGAATATAAAACTAAGCAGATGGGGAAAAGACAAGTCTGCGGCTTTGTGTGGGATAGATGGGTGTCCATGGAAGATTTATTGTTCTTATGAAGAGCCAGTTGGAAAGTGGATGGTGAAGACTTTTGAAGATTATCACAGCTGCGAAAAAGATGGGCATAGTAAGATACTGAAATCAGCAGTGATTATGAAGCTGTTTATGGATGATATTAGGACTGATCCTGATTTGAAACCAAAAACTATGCAAGAGCAGATTGAACAGAGGTTCAATTTGATAACAACCATAGACAAGTGCAAAAAAGCCAAGGCAAAAGCAATTGCTATCATCAATCGTGATCATGAAGAGCAATTTTCTAGGCTCAAAGATTACCGTTTAGCGTTGCTTGAGTAAGTAGTAATTGCTTTCATTTATGAACATTTAGTTTACTGTTTTGATAATTTTTAACTAACGGTTTTCATTTCTTTTGCAGAACAAACCCAGGGTCAACGATTGTGTTAGAAACAGTTATGGATGATGATGGATCAGAAATCTTCCATAGGTTCTATGTGTGTTTTGCAGTAATCCGTAAGCAATGGTCTACTTGGTGTCGTCCTATCTTTGGACTCGATGGTTGCTTTCTAAAATGCACACTTAAAGGACAACTATTGGCTGCTGTTGGAAGAGACGCCAACAATGGTATGTATCCCATTGCTTGGGCAGTTGTTGATGTGGAGAATGAAGATAATTGTCTTTGGTTCATAGAGAAGTTAAAAGTGGATTTTGATCTAAACGATGGTGAAGCATTTACAATCATATCTGATAGACAAAAGGTATATCTAGATTTTTTTCACTTCTCCTCTTTAGAAAATATGTTGGTTTTACTAATAATAGCTGTTACAATTTCAGGGTTTGTTGAATGCAGTGGAAAGATTACTACCGAATGTTGAACATAGGATGTGTGCTCGCCATATCTATGGTAATTTGAAGAAGCAGTTCCCTCATCAAAGCGACATGAAGACCTTGTTCTGGAGAGTAGCAGAGAGTTACACCATGTCTCAGTATGAAGTAAATCTCAAGGCGGTTCAGAACTATGATATTCGTGTGTATGATGCCATGATGGAGAAGAATCCAATGAATTGCAGTCTTGCATTCTTCTCAACAAGATCTTCATGTGTAGATGTTCACAACAACATCTCTGAATCTTTCAACAATGCCATTGATCCTGCCAGGTACATGCCTATGGTTGAGATGTTAGAGACTATTAGGAGAAGAGCTATGGTGCGTATTGATCATAGGAAGACAAAAGCGAGGAACAACATAGCTAGGTACCCGCATAGAATAGCAAAGATCATAGAGTTAGAGCAGGAGAAGTTGAAGTATTGTAAGATGATTCCAGGGTCCGATGGTAGATGTGAGGTTCGTGAGTCAGGTACTTCATATTCTGTGAATTTGAGACTGAGGACTTGCGCATGTAGGAGATGGGATATGAGTGGCATTCCTTGTCGCCATGCCTTGCGTATCATCGCAGAAAGAAAGCTGAACCATGAAGATTACATCTCCAGTTGCTATCTCAATTCCAGGCAGTAACTGATTTACAGTGACTCGATAAGACCAGTAAATGGTATGTGTTTCTGGAAAACAACTGGTTCTGTGGTGCTTCCTCCGCCGAGTTTGATTGAAGAAATTGAAAACAGAAAAGGAAGAAAGCCAAAACCAAAGAGGAAGAAAGGAAAGAATGAGTCTCCAACAAAGAAGAAGGTTAGCAGAAAGAAGAGGGTAATGCATTGTGGTCGATGTAGTTTTGCTGGACACAATGCAACTAAGTGCACGAACACAGGAGCGGTGGTATATAGGAAACCATATAAGAAGGCAACAGGAGCAGAAGAAGACATTGGAGAAGGAACATCTCAACAAACGCAAGATTAATCAAGTTTAAAAAAACAAAGCTATATTTGTTTCTGTGTTCTGTGTTTATGTTGTGTTTTGAATTCTTGTTACAATGGTGAAATCAGGGAAAGAATGATAGAGTAGGAGTGCTTTGAAGGTTTTTGCAATGATGGAGCTTCAGGGTTTGAAGGTTTTTACAATGATGGTTTTTGGAGGGATGAAGCTTCAGAGTTTAGGACATTTTTATTTTTCGTTTTTCTTGTTATCTTTTACAAAGATGGAGCTTTGGTCATAATGCTATCTTTTTCGGACATGGTGTTGAAATACAGTATTGCTAATCCTCATTTATCATTGTTGTGTTTCCTTCTCTTTCTTTTAGACATACAAACATGAGAAACCAAACATAGCAAACCACAACCTTTTCACATTAGCCACAAACATAATCATACATACACAGAAATGTCACAAACACCATGTCTACAATCTCACAACTACCATTAAACTCAAACACAATACTGTCTACAATCTCAAATTTATACAAACTCATACTCAAAATACAAACCTAAAGAAGAAAACCATCACCAGAGCAAACACCACAATGTTTTTCAACCTCCTAAGCTGCACTTTCAATTCTCCGATCTCCTTCTCAACGACAGCCTCACACACACGTGTCTCCATTGTCAAAGTGTCAATCTCTGATTCACAATTATTGTAGCTCTTTTGCAATATGATCGAAGCATCTTCTAGATTATTAACTTTCTCAATCAAGTCTTCAATCTCTTGAACCATAGATATATCAGTCCATTTGAACACATGATACCAATTATCTTGTCCGAAAATCGTAGAAGCAATGCTTAATGAAGAACGTAATTTTGAAAAATAACAAAATCTGAATTTTATACTTACAGGTTGTCCAAATGGGCAAGCATGAAACAACCTTCCTGGGTTTTTAGCAGTCCCTGACGTCTTCATCACTACAGATTCTCCACATCGACATCTTTTGGGGATTCCTCTTACTTGATCCCCCATTCTTCGAACAGACCTTAGGAAATTTTCAAAACGAAATCCATTTGTTTCAGTTATATATTGTCACCAATTCGAAGAAATACTGAGACTAAGAAATTAAATTTGATCGAAAGTAAACCTTAGATGAAAAAGCGAAGAAGACTGAAAAATCTTAAATTCTTCGTCGAGAGAAAGCGAAGAGGACGAGAGAAGGATCCGACAATGGAAAAAAGAAAATCAAATCTCTAAATCCCGAACGAAAACTTGACTAAGACTCTCGATTCTCCTTGAATTACACTAATCATTCATCATTGACTTGTGTTTGAGAAATCGAAAATCTGTATTTTTGTAGGATGAAAAGCGAAGAACACGGGGTCCTGAAAATAAAAAGAAGAAGATGAAATCCCTAAATCCCAAATAAAGATGGCACCATTTTAATGCAAACAGATAAATTTAGTTATTTGTTAATGCCACCTTGTTAAATCAATTACACATAGATTGCTGATTCATCAATTGTTAACGGACGACTAATCAAAGTAACAGTCAACACCACTATTTGCACTAAACTGATAATTTGGGTTGTTAATTTGAATTCTCATATGAGTTGGGGTAGCAAAATGCACTAATAACTAGTTGATGTATAAAAAGGCACGATAAAAATTGTTAAGGTTGATTTTGACCCTTTTTCCGAATATTTTCAGATATACAATTATTTTGTAAAGTAAAAGATAGTTATACCCTAAATCAAAAAACACTCTTTTTCATCGTCTTCCTCGTCGACTACAGCAGCAAAAAGCCCTAAATCTTATCTAACGAAAACCCAGGGGACGAAGAACCTCTTCTCGAGTCGATCCTTGACTCGATCCTTTTCAGCTGGTAAGATTGATTAGTCTTTATAGTTTCTTAGATTCTTTGTTTGTAAATTCAAAATTTCTGACTTTCTTTTCACTTTACGGTTATCAAATTCTGGGTTTATGTTCTGAAATTGGTAGGTATAAATTCGGATTTTTGATATCTTGCACATTCCAGTTGCTAAAAATCAATGGCGAGGCTCGTCGGATCTGTTCAAGTTCGATGACAGAAGCTCTAGTTTGTTCAATTGCTTCTTAAACGATTACGAAGAAGTTTATAGAATCATATCAGTGAGAGAATTTTGGCTTGAGATTGAGGTGATAAAAGATTCAGGAATATCCTTTTACTCAAGCCACAATAATCACCGGTAAATGTTTCAGAGTAGCTCTCACATTTTTTTTTTTATCGGAAATGGTTTTCGGCAACCGTATTGGTGTCGTGTTGTTTTAGGTGTTTGATTGAAAAGTTTTTTTTGGTTGTTGTTTCTCTGTTGTTGCAATCAAAGCAACTTTCAAATACACATAATTCGATTGGTATATGAGCTATTAAGAAATTGCTTTTGTAAGTTGTAGATGAAGATCGAGTGATTTATTTTGGTTTTAGTCTACATCTGATGTACCAGTAAAATGGAGGTCGTTTCTCCACTTTTTGTGCTTACTTTGGCATTGTTTCCTTGTAGATTTGAAGTCTGCTACAGCGGCTTTCACCAATCAAGTTACTTTCATAAGATGTGAAATGTTATCAGTAAGTTTGAATCTTGGAAAACATCTTACATGTTCTGTTTTGTGGTTTAGATATTCTCTAGAACCTAGGATTTGAGTAACACAGTTCATCATTGTGTTTTGTGGTTTGTATAATACAAACCTTTCTTGTGAGATCTCTTACTCCTCCAAATCTATGTGTTGAACTAAAGCGCTAGTGAGTACATATTTTTACTAAGGAGTTATTGGAACTAAAGTGGTAGTGGATGATGTTATGACTTGTATTTAATTTGATGTTGCAGTATCTTCCAAGTACGTCTGAAGGAAGATTTTAAATAGTTATATTTATTAGGATTTGGACCTAAGATTTTGTAAACTAGCATATGAGTGTAAAGAGATTGCTTTACATGGTACCATTGTTGCAATTCTGGAGTCAAAAGTTGAAAATCAAAGAAGATTCTAAAGAAGACGAGGGAAACTGAATCAGTCTTACATCATTGTTTGTGAAGTTCATAGGTCTCTTATGTACAGTAATTATTCCAAATTGGGCATTGTATTTGAATTTTTATGAACCTTCTTCATTGTTCACACATTTTATACAGTTTTTAAAAAATTTACGATTTTTTAAAAAGTTTTATAATGTTTTATAAACTCTTATAAAATGAATTTTATAAATTCGTATTAGTGCATTTAGCAATGTTTTAAAAGGTTTTATAATGCTTTATAAATTTGTATGAAATGAATTTTAAAATTTTTTAATCCTTTTAAAGGATTTTGCAGACATCCACACTCTTACTAGGGATGTGTAACCATCAGACCACACAACCATTTGTTTTTCATGCAAAATGTATTTCTAAACATCCACGAATGTAACATTGCTTTGGTTAAAATCCAAGCCCAAACACGAGTCTAAAAAATTCAAGAAAATTTCGTAGATGCTATTTCATATCAACAATGTTGAAGCTTAATTATGTTTATCTAAGATGATGAATTATTTCTTTTTGAAAAGATTTATAATGTTTTAAAAAGTTTTATAATACTTTATAAACTCATATTAGTTAGCATTTAGTAATGTTTAAAAAATATTTTATAATGCTATATAAATTGGTGTGAAATGAATTTTAAAGATTTTTTTAATCATTTTAAAAGATTTTGCACTTTTAGTAGGGATGTGTAACCATCAGCCCCACAACCATTTGTTTATTATGCAAAACTTATTTCTAAATATCTACAAATGAAACATTGTTGTGGTTAAAATCAAAGCCCAAATTCAAGCTTGAAAAAAACTCAAAAAAATCTCGTATATGCTACTTTATATTAACAATGTTAAAGCTTAATTATGTTTATCCAAGATGATAAATTATTTCTTTTTAAAAAGTTTTATAATGCTTTATAAACTCGTATTAGTTAGCATTTAGCAATCTTATATTGCATTATATTGCAAAAACGTGTCTCAGGGTAAGCTACGTTTTGTCCCTTTTCTATAGAAGTTTTGATCTGTCACTAATAATTGAGAACAAATTGTGTAAGCTCAGTGTCAGACCGAGAGGAGCTCTTTGGGAGGCTGTTGACCCAGTGCCAGGATAAAATTGAAAACAAGTTTTTGATCCGTCACTGATATTTATAATGCTTTATAAACTCTTATAAAATAAATTTAAAAGATGTTTAAATCATTTTAAAGAATTTTACAGAATTTAATCCCAAGCATCTGTATTCTTTTTTAGTAGTTATATGCCTTTGCAAGTTCCGTAGTTACTAGTTTGAATATCATTTAATTTATTTAGTTTTTATAAAAATTTAAAAAGGAGTTTTAAATCCTTATAAATGAGTAATACATCATTTTAACAATATTAGCTCAGTGAATCACTCACCTAAATCTCATTTATATCATATTTTGATTGTGAATTCTGAAGGACTCCATCAGACTCATGTAAAGAAGCCAGCCTTGGCATATCCTCCTCCACCCCATGTGCAGTGGCATGACATGTGCCACATATGACCTTCTCCCAATCAAATTTGGGTTTGGTTGTTATCTCGCCATGACCATGTTGCTATTGGAGTATGTCTCACAGCAACTTTGTTGTATGTGTGTTTTTCAAGGCAGACATGGAGGGAGAACTGCATAAGAGAAATGATCATAGAACTTGTGCAGATGTTCCTCGTTTTATGGACTCTGATCTGAATAGTTAATCTCCATTTGGCTACACAAAATTGAATAAAAGCCGACTTTAGATTTTGAATAAGAAGCAATCTCGAGCTGATTGTTGAGGAGGTAAGGAACAAACAACCCTTGCAATGGGGAGCAGCCTCAGCTTCCTTCAAAGATAAAAACTTGTATTTGAAAGAATCTGATACACACCAAACAAAAAAACAAATTACTCAAGAATCATTAGCTCAAGTGAAAAAATGCTAGAAAGATGATTTAAAAATCACAGTTGAAAGAAAATGCAGAACAAAAGAAAGCAAAACAGGTTTGAGTTTTATCCTTAGTGATTGGCTTCTCATGCGTCTCATTGATGCACATGTGAACATAATAAATTTTATTAAGCAAGAATCACACTTAATGAAGAAAACTATGTATGACAGAGTAGTAAGATGATATGATCTTACTACACAAGAATCAGTCTCCATCAGTTTTGAAGGCTCATTAAGCTCCACAAGAATCACCTATGGTAAACCAAACCAAAACCCATTGGTCATGACTCATGAGCCTCCCACATAGGTTCACAAGAGTTGAAAGATAAAGTTTATATATAGATAAAGTATGTTTATTGAATGAGAGAACCATGGCCATGTCACTACATATGACCGTTGGTTCTCTATGAGCCATTATCATCACCATGGAATCTGTAAACTCATCTCTTATGATTTTCTGGATGATTGCATCAGTACCAATCCAACCACGCCAGTTCCAACCTCAGGCTCTTTCAAATCTGCACCTTCAGAACCAATTGCAAGAAATTAGAAGCAAACTCTATAACCTTCAATACGGTATCTTTCGAGAGAGCTTCGAGAACACTGTCATTGATTTACCTTCAATCTCCCTGAAATCATTAATGATCCCAGGAATCAGATCTTCTTCACCTTTCCTGAGATCCGGTGGCCTCTTGGTCGCTTCAGAGAAATTGTGGAACCTGGCCTGCGCCTCAACACGATTACGCAGAGCCAATCAGAGCGATCTCCTGAGCTTATGAATCGAATCCTGGTCCGCATCTGGGTCGGATCCACAAATATCTGAGATTTGGCTCCGGGAAAGGTCGATGAACTTGGTGCAAACCTGTATAGACACCTCCCACTCTTCCCAGAGAAGAAGCTCCGTCGCTTTGGATCTCCGGCTCTGCAACAGCTCTGATGGTCCTTGTATATCTTCATGTTTCTCAATTTGATCACGGGTCGTGGTTGATCGGAATTAAAATCTAGATCGACTTGTCCATTCCGTCGTCTTCTTCCTCCTCCATTTCCGGCGTGATTAGAAGATTTCTCATATCTAATTAGATTTTAGTAAGGGTATAATAAGAAAGACACCAATTAATTGATAGCAATTTTGAAAGACTTTTTGTTGATGGTAATTTTGAAAATTGTATTTTTCAAAATTGTATTTTTCAAAATTTCTCATATCAGTTTAATCTCTTTTACATAAATATTTTTTCTTTGTTAAATTTTGTTTTTACATTAATTTTTTATCTTAATTATAATGCTATTTTGACATGCTAACTATAACTATGTATTCTAAATTTTATGTGCACTTCTTTCAAAAGCTTATACCATCATTTGGTTTTTAAAGTTAATTCTTTTATCTTGATTTGCAAAATATTAGCCTAAATATCAAGCTAGGTTTTTTTATATAAATTTTTCCTTTGATAATTTACCTCTCTTGATATTGATTTCTATTTTATTTTAACATATAATTATTTTGAAAATATTGATATTTTTGAAGACATAACTTTATTTTTTGTTTTTTTGTTAGTTAAATATTTTAATATTGATTTTTAAGTAGTTAGTTAGGTATCAAGTCAATTTTTTTAGATGATTTTTTAAAATTTAACATTTTGTTTTCATTTTATTTTTCTTTTTAATTAATTTCTTAATATTGATTTTTTTAATATTTAAATTTATAATGACTAATATCTTGGCTGCGTCCTGTTTAAGAACTAACAAAAAAATACTACATAAGTAATTTTACATTCAAAATATAACAACTAATCTATATATAGTTACTACTTATAACTTAGCCAACATGAACAGCACATGAGTAACATCTTCTATAATTTCCTTTAAATAGTAAAGTATGATAAAGTTATGAATCAAATTCAAATTGGAATATATCTAGATAAACTATTCAAATCAAATCATGAATAAACCACACAAAAGATAAAAACAGTAATAATATGAAGACTCCACACTATCTTACATGTTGAAAAATAAAAACTATCAAATAGTTGAATGCAAATAAAACAGATCTTATAAATTGAATAAATATATAACTTAAAATTTATAGAAGATCTGGTAGAGAATCAAGAAGCAGCTTTACATGATTATTGTAGCATCCTAACAAAAGTAAATCTGAAGCAACATGAATCATATATTATATATACATAGGTACATAACATCATTGAGATATTTAATCAAAAACTAAATATTTGAACATATAAATCTTAAAAAAGAAGAATTATTGAAATCCTAAGGACACAAAACAAAACACCAAAAAATTAGTAAAGAAATTATTCTCTAAATCAAACGTATGCACGTCAAAGTTGGATAATTTGTTAGATGTTATAACTATGATTATACTTAATAAGGTTTATAATTTTATAATCAAAAGATAGGTAAAACTACATATTTGACCAAAAAGTCAAATATTTTCCAATTGCAAAAATGACCTGCCAGAAGTCTACTTCTCGGAGAAGTCTACTTTGCATAGAGAAGTCTACTCTACAAAGTCAAAGGTTGGTCAATTGCAAAAATGACCTGCTTCTAAAGAAGTCTACTCGAGAAGTCTACTCCATTTTTTTTTGTTATCAAAGGAAATAGAGTAGACTTCATTCGGACCAAAAGAAGTATACTTTTTCATGCAGTTAATTGCAAAACTAACATGGGCGTTGATTAGTAGACTTCATTCGGACCGAGAGAAGTCTGCTTTCAGAGCATTTTCGTAAATAAGTGAGAAAGATGAGGATTAGTTGGTCATTTGGATTTCTGAAAATAAAAGAAATTAATTAAAAACAATGGCAATTTTGTGAATAACTGAAACTATGAAGGATTGTTTGGATACAAAATGGCAAATATTGGAAAGGTAATTTTTGTGGGTTAGATTTGCATTTCAAATCAAATTTTAGGTCATTTTTGCAAGAATCCCTTGTGATTTTAATATAAATCACTCTAAATTCTACTGTGAATACATAACCCTTAAATGATTTGGCGGAGTTTGTTAGTTAATTTTTTTTCAAATTCTCTCAAATTATATTTTGAATACACCCCCCTTAGTTTTGTGGTTAAATTAGTTTTGGAAATAAAGTTCAAGAGTCATAATTTATCATTATTTTTATTTTTTTTCGAGAATGATTATTACTTAGTTCAATTTCTAAGTTTCATATAATCTTTATTTTATCAAATATTTTGAGAGTGATTTTTTTTATTCTATGTAAATTTTTTGATCTGTCTTAATGTATCATATTCAGATCAAACTGGT